GCAAATAATTTCACAAATTAATCTTCTTTTCAATATTAAAGAAGAATAAATTTTTTTCATTTGATAATTTTTATAAAAATCTATCAATTAATTATAACTTTATTTTTTGAAATAAAATATTATAAAAGATATATTTTTGAAGTTTTTTTTTTAATTCTTGATAATATTTTAATTAAAATTATTATAATTTTTTATTTTAAAATCAATTCATAACCAAGAATGAATTATATTCAGGTACTGGTGCAGGTCATCTTATCGGTCCCGATCTTTATGTGGAAGTCAACAAATAAGTCAACAAGTCTTCAAACCAAACAAGAACTTGTATGTATATGACTGGAGTTGTCTTAGCCAATCTGTTTTAAGTCTTCCACAAGCCTTCGTAGAAGTTTGAACATCTTCATCAATCTGTTTTAAGTCTTACAGTATAGTGATAGCGATCATTTCCGACCCCACCACTTGTGCCTACTTTGAGGTGAAGCCGTCCGTTGAAAAGAAGATTTATGGATCGTACTGGTCAACTTACCACTGCACTAACAATAAGTCATCTACTCAACCTCACTCAACCTCGCCAACGTATATACAATCAAAAGATCAAAGCATGAATCCTGTAGAAATGTCGCTTAGTACATTATTGCTTCTCTTCCTTGTTTTCCCTTCTTGCTTATCTATTGACATCATAGCTCCAAACCAATCAATCAAAGATGGAGATGTTTTGGTCTCTGGTGGACAAAGCTACGCACTTGGGTTCTTTAGCCCAGTTAATAATTCTACTCGTCGCTACGTGGGAATTTGGTACAATAGGGTTTCAGAACGAACTGTTGTATGGGTAGCAAATAGAGACGGTCCTGTCAATGGTACCTCCGGGGTCCTGGCTATCAGCAATCAAGGTAACCTTGTGCTTTATGAAAATAACCGAAGTACTGTTCCTGTTTGGTCTACGAATGTTTCAGCCTCGTCGATCAACAATTGCCTTGCGCAGCTCCTGGATACGGGAAATTTGGTCTTGGTTCAACAGGATAGCAAAAGGGTCTTATGGCAAAGTTTTGATCATGCTACAGATACTTTGCTTCCTGATATGAAGCTTGGGCGGGACCTGAAAACCGGTTTCAGCTGGTCTTTGTCATCCTGGAAGTCCAAAGATGACCCTGGAACCGGAACCATTTCGTTTGTTGTTGATCCAAGTGGGTTTCCACAACCGATTCTATACAAAGGTAAAACCCGATGGTGGCGGGGCGGGCCATGGACCGGACGAAGGTGGAGCGGAGGACCCGAAATGACTCATAATCATATCTTTAACGTTACTTTTGTTAACAAGCTTGATGAAGTTTATATACTGTATGCCACGAATAATCCCTCCATCATTTCAAGAATGATGGTGAACGAAACAGGAGTACTGCAACTGCTGATATGGAACGGTCGTGACCAACGATGGATCGGATTTTGGTCCGCACCGAAAGAACAATGCGACACCTATGGAGAATGTGGTACAAATAGTAATTGTGACCCATATCGTGCAAATAATTTCATATGCAATTGTCTACCTGGATTTGAACCGAAATCACCCCACGAATGGTACTTAAGAGACGGTTCAAAAGGTTGCATCCGAAAACCTAACGTGTCCACATGTCATAATGGAGAAGGGTTCGTCAAGTTGGCACATGTGAAGATACCCGACACGTCCACGGCACGTGCGAACATGAGTTTGAGCTTGAAAGAATGTAAGCAAGAGTGCTTAAGGAACTGCTCTTGTACTGCTTACACTAATGCTGATGAAAGAGGAATTGGATGCTTGAGATGGTATGGTGATTTGGTTGATACAAGAACGTTTGCAGATGTAGGACAGGACATTTACATTCGTGTGGATGCAGCTGAATTAGGTACATGTCCAATTCTTGCAACCAACTTATTATTATGTCTTTCTTTGCTAGCTAGCTTTCCTTATAAGTCGGGTTTAGGATGTGACAGCACTCCTAAAACTTTATTTTTAGAATATTCGAGATCGTACATTAACAGTATCTTTTAGCAACATCTAGAGAGAGATTGGTCTCTTGATTTGCAAAAAACTTGAATAGAGAAGTAATTATAGATAAATTTACAGTACAACTAATTCCTCCTTAACAGCTTAGAAGATTTAATTTTCAAACTCACACATTGCTAACATTTATTATATTTTCACTTTTCAGCTAAATATGAAAAGTCAGGACCACTTGCCAAGGAAGGAATACAAGCAATACTGATAGTGTCTATTGGTGTGACATTATTTATGATGATCTTCCTTGTGTATTGGTTTATAAGGAAAAGGAGAAAAGGTAAGCAAAAATTCCTTTCAACTGTTATTCTTAAGCAATATATTTTTCGTAGTATCATTAAAATCAGGGTGTTGAATCAATAAAAGTGCAGTGTGAAGCTGAAAGTTTCAATATTTGTTGATTAGTGAAAAATAGGAACTCATGAGATCAGTTAGCATTGTCATAGCTAGTCTTAAGCTCAAGAAACTACACCTCGAGTTTTAAGTCATACCAACAATAAATTTGCTGCCATGTTCATTGCAGCCATGGACAGGGACAGAAGAAACAAATTTTTTCTAACTTTCCCTTCAAGTTCAAAATGCTTGAGAGATCCCCCAATTAAGGAATTTGATGAAGGTAGAACAAGTTCAGATTTACCACTCTTTGATCTCAGTGCCATAGCTGCAGCAACAAATAATTTCTCAGATGACAAAAAGCTTGGAGAAGGAGGTTTTGGCTCAGTATATAAGTACATAAATAATTCATTTCCCCCATGTCTATATGCATTGTTTCTCAATATTCTATCAAGGTTTTTTTTTTTTTTTTTTTTCAATCTCGAATCAGATTTTAGTAAACCGAATCTAAATTCATCTTTCTTATCATTTAAGGTATTGCAACATTATAAAAATTTTCAGATTTAACAGAAGCCCTCATAATTAGAATGCTACATAGAGTTTCATATAAACCTAGTGCCTCTGTTTGATTTTTGTTAAGAATTTGAAAAGTTCAATTGCAGTTATAAATTCCCATAGGTTAAATTTTATGCATATCATGATCACAAATTCATATTAATTCATAACTTGTCAAATATGTGAAACACATACAATTAAGAACTTTCAATTGACTCATTTTTTATTAAATCCATATTATGTAATTCAAGTTTACTAAATCATGATGAGGTGTCAATTTAATGGTCACATCAACTTATATTTGAGGAAATCCAATGGAAATATTTGATTAGAATAAATTTAAAAGTTCACACACTTAAATAGTAAAGATAAAAATAACGACATTTGAATAGAAAAAAAAGTAAAAGTTTTCGTACCAAATAGATAATAATGTCATATAACATTCATTCAATTCCTGAGTAATTTTGTTAAGAAATCAAACTAAATTTTTAATTCTGCTATAATGGATTTCTTTTATTGAAACAATAATTATTTTTATTTTTATTTTTAAATAATATATATATATATATATATATATATATATATTACTGAATAAAAATTTTTCTAGTAAATTAAATTTTAAACACGTGTTAAATGGACTTTGAAATCAATTTGATGTATCCAGTGAGTGCGTTCACACAAATTAAAAATCCAATGAGATTCCTCTTTTTTCAATCCGTAAATATTTTATCGCCTTGACAATTAGTATATCAAAAAGAAAATTAATTTTAAGATTTATTAGATTTTCTTTTTTGTTACGTACCGTTTTCTGTTACATTTGTATTATATACGAAAAGGTATTGGCAAGATTTTAATTTAAATATGCTAAAAACATTCATTTAGAATTTAACGATTTCCTTTCTTTTTTTTTTTTTTTTCACTCAACAAAATACAGTCTTTTAAACTCTATTTTGGGTTGTTGCTGGGTTTTTTTTTTTTTTAATGATGAGCTTTTTTTCATTCTTTTGGTTATTTTTTACCAACAAAATCTGGTATTTTCAAATTTGATTTGAAAATACGATTTTTTTTTTTTTTTTTAATACAATGAGGCTAAGGCCTAAAAAAAAAAAAAAAAAAAAGAAAATATCAACTTCATCGCTAGCAAAAGCAGCAGCAAAACTTGAAGGTAGTTGATGTCAAATCTAGATAAGAGTGTAACTTGAAGAATCAATTATGATAAGAAACTTAAGTCCACGATTTTCTTCTCTCAAATTATGGTTAAAAGAGACTGGTCTTTAAGAATGAACACGTAAGACTTCATTTAGAATGAGCTGTTTATTGAGAATTAGTCTCCGTAATTACCTTCATTTAGGAAGTTCATGGCCGGCAGGCTAAACCATAAGGACCAAATTAAATACATTTAAAACTTAAATATTCATCCAAATTGAGTCATTTTAATATGGAAGTCAATTTTATTTTTTCTACATACAAACAAAATTTACACAATTTCCCACCCACCTTCCTCTAGATTCCAAGAACTCACTTTACTCATAAATAAATTATAAATTAGTCCTTTTAGTTTTAAGAAAAAAATTAATTAGTCTATTTTGTTTTAAAAATTAAATTTTTAATTTTTTAATCAGAGTAGAATGTTTAATTTATTATTAATTTATTTTTTTAAAAAAATCTTTTTTAATCAATTATTTCATAAAATCAATTTATTTTTTCCTTTTTATATTTTTAAAATAAAAAACAAAATCAATTAGAAAAGAATAAAAATGGACAAAAATAATTAAATAATTTGGTTTTAAGAAAAGACTAATAAATTTGTTTCTAAAAACTAAAGGGACTATTTAAAATTCACTCCTTCATTCATTGGCAAGATGTGTGGAAGCATATATTGTGTTTAGCAGAACAAAGACACGAGGACAAGCAAAATAATAATTAAAAAAAAAAAAAACATATATTGTGTTCTGCAGAAGAACAGAACAACAGCATGAGGACAAGCAGACCAAAAAAAAAAAAACATAGAGGATTGCTTTATTGCTAATAGAAGGCAATGTGTGTTCCCCATTTGCTCTCATTGTACAGAAGCAGGATGCCAATGGATTCTTCAAATTTAGTAATTCTATTTTCATTCTCTTACTTTCTTCTACACCTACCTGCTCTGACAACTGCTCAGCCAGACTTCGACGATTATAGTTGTGATTATTACAACAACGTTGGTAACTACACAACTAATAGCACCTTCCAAAGAAACCTCAACAGCCTCCTCTCCTCTCTAGCATCCAACACTCAAATTGACTATGGATTCTACAATCTATCCGTTGGCGAAATTCCTGAACGAGTTAATGCAATTGCACTTTGTAGAGGAGACGTTGCGGTTGACGCTTGTCAACGTTTTGTTAATAACTCAATTCTTGAGATCTTACAGGTTTGTCCTAACAGGATGGAGGCATTTGGAGTTTACGAACTCTGTATGATCCGATACTCGAACAGATCTATATTCGGTGTTCTGGAAGAACGACCAAGTATGGACATGGCCAACGGACCAAAGGTTTTGGATGTCAATTTGTTTAATCAGGCACTTCAAACGTTACTGGCGAGACTTCAAGGTAGAGCTACATCAGGAAACTCTTTAAGAAAGTTTGCAACAGGAAACCAAAGCGCAGGATTTGAAACAGTATATGCTCTTGTTCAATGCACACCTGATTTATCTGAGCAGCAATGCTCTAGCTGCCTCCTTGGGCTTTTTCGGATGATTACAAGTGATGGGAATATGCAATGGAAGATTGGAGTCAGGCTCGCAAGACCCAGCTGCAATTTGAGGTGGGAGACTGGATCATTTTTTAATGTTACGCCAGAGACACTACCACCACCAACACAAGCATCGCCCATATCTCCCCCTGTAGCACAAGGTAGGCCTTGAATTGTTGAAATCACTAGTAATTTAAAGTTATGGATGATCTCCAGCCAAATTGGGAAATTAAAGCGACAGGGTAGCTGAAAAATGCATGAGTTTTACTAGGAATAGAAAGTAGTATAGATTTTACTATATTTAATAAATAAACAATCATTCTTAATTATTTATTTTGATTATTTAAATTTAAGAAAAGTGTCTGATCATGAAAGGATTTGAATCTCTTCCACTAAGCAGAAAGAAGGTTAGGTTAATTCTTAAACTCATGAGAGTGGAGGGTTGAATGCTCCCTAGTCATAAAAATTCCATGTTGGCAACTTGCTTTGGGGCATAATGCCAGGGAATCATTTGGGCTACAGAACTCTGTGATCTCAACCATCAACTTGGTTAATGTTTTAGGGTCGCGTTGGTTTATGCAGGAACAAAGAGCAACAAAGCACGGGTCATTATCATTATTGTCGTCCCAGTTGTCGGTATTGTGGTACTTATCATCTGCATCTGCCTACTTGTAAGATCAAGGAAGCCAACGGAAAAGGTTGAAAGTAGGTAAAAGCTTGGATGTATGAATTCTTTAAGTTTTTTACTTGATTTCCAATGCAATCTCCAATGATATAGAACCTAATTGAATTTTCAATACTTAATGCCAATGTTATATTAAATGTACAAAAAGTAACGATTACCATCCCGGAACGTGGAATGTGATCTAACAACAATGAGTTGTTTTAGTATGGTAAAGATTAAAATAATTCCCATTATGCATGCATAAGTAGTCATAACTATTATTTAAAAACACCAAATTTAGAGTAATTTGATTTAAAGAGTAGTTAAGTAATGGATAAAAAACTAAACGTGCTTTAAATTAAGAAGTAGATAATAGATTTAATTTCGATTGATGTAAAAATTATATATATTTTTTTATTTCTCACATCAAATTGTTTCATGCTTATAACTAATTATGTTCAATCCCATTTCTTACAAATTCTTTGAAGACATCTACATATAATTATTTTCACTTCAGAATTCAGAATTGGCTTTGATGATTTTAATTATACCTCACATACAGGATCCTAAACTATTTTAAATGTCTTAGTTTCTTTTTATACCCTCTTAATTTGTTTTTCCATCTCTTCAACAGTGGTTTCTACTTTCCTCTAATTGGCTCGTGAAGATGTTCAGTTCATAAGTAGAAAAGAAAGAACAAAGTTTTCTTTTATATATAAACATCCATCAATCTTCAAAATTGAGAGTTGAAAGTCAGATTCGTAAGACTGATTAACACAACAATTTAGAGCAATGTATTAGCTTTCCATGCATTCTAACTTGTTCATTTTTTGAAGCTGTGGAGGAAATAGAAAGTGCAGATTCATTACAATTCCCCTTCAGCACTATTCGTGAAGCAACAGAGGACTTTTCGAAGCAAACTAAGCTGGGACAAGGTGGATTTGGTGCTGTTTACAAGGTACTGAAGAATATAATGCTTGGTGCATGAATTAAATCACATTGTTTATGATGCTACAAGGAACATACAAGGAGTAATGAATTGATACGTTTTCAGGGAACCCTTCTTAGTGGACAAGAGATAGCAATCAAAAGACTTTCTAAGGATTCTGGGCAAGGAGATTTGGAATTTAAAAATGAGGTCTTATTAGTGGCAAAGCTCCAACATCGGAGTTTAGTCAGGCTTCTGCTTGCATGGAATTGAAAGGCTTCTTACCTATGAGTTCGTGCCTAATGCCAGTCTTGATCACTTCATATTTGGTAAGGCTACTTCAAAATATGAAGCACAAATGAATATTTCATATACTTTTACCCTGTGTGACTAAATCTTGTGATTGCTCCAAATGTAGATCAAATCAAGCGTATACATTTGAACTGGGAAATGCATTAGAAGATTATTGGAGGCATTGCTCGAGGGCTCCTTTACCTTCACGAGGATTCTCGACTTCGAATCATTCATCGTGACCTCAAAGCTAGCAACATTTTGTTAGATGAAGAGATGAACCCTAAAATTTCCGATTTTGGCATGGCAAGGTTGTTTGTTATGGATCAAACTCAAGGCAATACAAGTAGAATTGTGGGAACCCAGTAAGTATGGACATGAACATGATATGGACCTAATAATTACCAATTCAGCTCATATTTTCTTATAAAATTGAATGAAAGAAGTACATACAAAAAATCCCAACAATGTAAAACCAGTTAAATTTTATCTAATCTAACGAGTTTGAACTTGTAATTGTTGATAAGCAATGGCTATATGGCTCCAGAATATGCAATGCAAGGACATTTCTCGGTCAAGTCAGATGTGTTTAGTTTCGGGGTGCTAGTTTTAGAGATTATGAGCGGACAAAAAAATATTTTTCGTAATGGACATAACATAGAGCACCTTATGAGCAATGTAAATACAACTATCTACGAATCAAACACATTATTGAAAGATTTATAGAGATATTTGCCCTTCAATATTGTGAATTCACTTGGGATAAATTTTGCAGGTATGGAGAAATTGGAGAGAAGGAACTACTCAAGATATTATAGATCCCATTTTGAGGAGTGGCTCAACAACAGAAATGATGAGATGCATCCACATTGGGTTATTATGTGTTCAAGAAAATGTAACTGATAGGCCGACAATGGCCTTAGTAGTTCTCATGTTAAGCAGCTCTTCCCTCACATTGCCATTACCTTCTCAACCGACATTTTTATGAGCAGCAATAGATATCAATTAGAGATGTCATCTTCAATGGGCTATAATTCAAAGGTGACTGAGTCCTCGTAATCTAAGATTAAAACTATTCCTTTATCGAAAAATAAGGCTTCAATTAGTGAGTTATATCCTAGATAGTGGTTACGGATGGTCTTTATTTTCTAATATTTTGCTATCCATACATATTAATTTGGTCAACATTTGCAGATATATTAATTTTCGTTTATACAATTCATGTATCCTATTTTCATAACTTCAAAGTATATATTTTATGCAAACTATAGCAACGCAACAAAATGTATCAATTTTTATTATCATGGTCACCAATATTTCATATATCCAAAGCTTGACTCGACCCAAAAGTCTAGTAAGTTGATTCCACATAAAAGGTATGTCGGTTAATTTTTTGAGTGATTTGCTTAGACCAAAAAACTAGTTAATCATAAACTATTTGATTAAATAAGATAATTATAACAAGATAAATGTGTTGGTTAAGCTTCCTAACAATCAGGAAGAACGTGGGACATGACATAATTGCAGTAGTTGCAAGATGACACAGAGCATTGCAAGGTAATTTAGATAGATACAAAGAAACATAGAGCATTACAAGACAATATGGACAGTTGCAAGAAAAATATAAAGCTCTACAAGGGATATGGATGGACCAAATAGCTATATAATTAATAGAAGCACCAGTAAGAGAAAAGACACATATATACAATCAACTCAACAACACTTGCATACAACACGACGCTCTCGTAGCATTTTCATAATTTTCAAAAAACTTGAAATTTATTAGGTAATAGCTCATAGGCTATGATTAAAATGGGTTGATAAATTTGTAGGTTGGCAACTCGAATCCCGAAGATGAAGTTTTAAGATGCATCCAAATTGGTTTGTTATGTATGTAAGAATCTACAATGGATCGCCCAATGATGTCTAATGTTGTTTTCATGTTGAGTAATGACACAACTCTTCCATCTCCAAAGCAACCTACATTCATTCCGAAGAGAAGTTACAATAGTGGAGATCCATCAACTAGTGAAAGAACTAATTCTATGAATGAAGTGACTCGTCACTATGCTTCGAAGCTCGATAAAGGCCTACATATTAGATGTTATGCATCCATATATTACAAGTACAGGTATTGTAGATTTGAAATATTATATATTGATTAAATTTTCCAAAACGTAGTGCATAGTAGTGTAGTTATTTTTTATGATAAAATGTATTTTTAGATTAGCTTATCCGTTAATCGAAACTAAGTTAATCAACTAATAATATTGTATAATAACGAGTGGTATTATTGATCAATCTTTTTAATCAAGTTTGATTATGATAAATTGTATCTTTCCATTAAGAATTATATATGTTTTTTTACTTATGTTTGGAAGCATGTAGTAGAAAAACTCACATCACTCAACAAAAACCTATATCCCTTCAATCTTAATTAAGAGCTAACATAAGTACATAAATAATTCATTTCCACTATGTCTTTATGTATTATTTCTTAATATTCTATCTAGGTATTTTTTGTTCAATATCGAATCGATTTTAGTAAATCGAATCTAAATTCATCTTTTTTATCATTTAAAGTATTGTAATATTATAAAAGATTTTGGATTTAATAGAAACCCTCATATTTAAAATGCTAGATAGAGTTTCAAATAAACCTAGTGATCACTTTGTTTGATTTTTGTAAGGAATTTGAAAACTTCAATTATAATTTCTATAAACCTTAGAAGTCCTTGTATGTCCCTTTAAGCTATCCCTATTGTTTAACCGACAATACCATTACCACTTTATAATAGATAATAACACTTTATTTGGTAGTATTTCCCCATGGTGATCGTTTGATAATTGTAAAAATATGAGAGTTTGAAAGTAAAGTCATCATTTTGCATCTTTAAATAATAAAAATAAAAAATTTAAAAGACTAATGCTAAAAATTTGAAGTAAGAGGATTGATTTCACAACTAAAGAAGATCATGATCATCCCAATGTTCCCTAATCATAAGGTTGCTACCCAATTTTAACCTATAAAAAAAAATTTATGCAAAGTTTAATTTGTATTCGTTTGTCTATTTTGATTTATGAGTTTAATTATTTAAGTTTTTTATAGCAAATCATAAATGAGGTGATTTAACACTAGGTCTCTTACTAAATTGTCATTTGGCATTGGAGCTTATTAAAAACAAGTACAAAGTTAGGGTTTAAAACCTATTTGCAAATCAAAAACCCAAAACATGTGTAAAAAATAACAATAAAACAAAAAAAATTTGGATCATATGCCCAACTTTAC